TAGTATATTGCAATGTTACTGTGATATTTTCGTAATATTACGTGTTATGTGGGATCTTACATATAATACATAAATATATACTCAAAAACAAATTTTTAACTACCGTGTTATTTAAATAACGTCATTATGAGGTCTTACTCACTTATTTCAACTGACGTTACTCCAAAGACCAATAGTTACATCATATATGACGTATATGTGTGACGTACATACTGACATCATTGTTATGACGGTCAAAATATCGTCAGATTTAGGTCATAATCACTAATTAGTGACAAAAATCACGTATATTTACGTCATTACAACGTCAGCTGGTTGCTTGGAATAGTCTCTCTAGTGCGCATGATTTTGTTTTTCATCTTGACACTTTTCGTACGTTTTTCCTCAGTTGCTATTGAGCTTCTCATGTAACATATCTTGTAAAATGTACATCTTATTGTAAAGATAATAACATCAGCGTATCTGTAAGTTTTTAATCTTAAGCGTTTGTACTTGTAACATTTTCTCTTAATAAGTTTTTGCGACCATCAATTTTTTATTTTCATTGTAGAATATATTAATAAGGACCTAAAAAGAAGGTTTATATATACTCACTCATGTTAAATAAATCATCTTCTTACACATTTACACATCAACACCGGTGTTATGCTCTAACTGCCTTAACCACACTATTATAAATTATCTGGAGCTAATCATCGTTTTCATCATATTTTAAATTTAGTTCGGGAGGTATTCGAGGTTCTCCATATACGTGATGTAAAACTAGCATCTTATATGAATTTAAAGAATTGAAATTTTAATTCAAAAACTCACATGAAAAATGTGAATACGTTTGTGCACATGTGTATATATATACACAAGCATATTTTTCGCACAACATCCTGCGAACGGCTCTTTACTGTCAATTTACATTCAATTAACTTTAAACGATTACAGAGCCTGAGATGATTTTCATTTAATAACTTTAATAATATATTATTCATTCTTCGAACACATTCTTGTTTCTCTAANTTGCCAAAGGATGTCAGAACACTTCTTAATACGCCACGAAATCGTGCTGTTGTTTCTAAGGTGGAACCAGGAGAATATATTCATTTTGATCTTGAAGCAGGGATTATTCAATGTCTTATGAATATTTCATCTGCAGTTTCTGTTAATCACTTAGAAATAGATTTTAATACAGATGGATGTGCTTTAGATAAGTCAAGTAGTATTCATATATGGCCAATTCAAGTCAGGATTGCATACATTTAACATACAAGACGAATAGTAGTAGGAATTTATAAAGATACGCAGAAGCCATATAATCCTAACACATTCTTCGAAAAATTTATTATAGATATTAAGAGAATAATATTCAATGGAGGTATAAATTTTTATGGCAGTAAGATAGCAATAAATTTGAGATGTTTCATAGTCGACGCACCAGCTCGCGCCTTTATTTTTAATCATCGTGGACATACATCAGGTCATCCTTGCTCGAAATGCAAAGTTTCCGGTACACGAAATGAAGATCGTTATGTTTATAATAATATAAATCTTTTTCTTCGANCTGATGATGAATATCTTAGATGTCTTGACGAAGATCATCATAAAGAAGGTAAAAGCCCATTATCAGTACTTCCTATGGGCATGGTTTCACAAGTTCCATTTGAGTACATGCATCTCGTATGTTTGGGAGTAGTAAAAAACTATTGTTAGCATGGGTATTCGGAAAATATTCACGATTGACAAAATTATCAGGTAGATCTATCTCTATTATATGTGCGAGATTAAACATTCTTAAAAAATATTGTCCTTCGGAGTTTGCAAGACGTCCTAGATCGCTCGATGCATGTTCTAAGTATAAAGCAACAGAATATCGTCAATTTCTTCTTTATACGGGTCCAGTTGTGACACACGGTATACTTGACAAGCAAGTATACAAACATTTCTTATTTTTACATGCATCTATAAGAGTTTTAACTTTACATTCTCCATCAAGACTGCAATTAAACTTTGCAGAACTTGCGTTGCAAAAGTTTGTTCAAAGATGTGAAAATCTGTACGGCTCAAATTTCAGTACATATAATGTCCACGGTCTTCTTCATCTTGTCAACGATGTTAGGCATTTTGGTAATCTAGATTCTTTTTCTGCTTTCCCATATGAAAACAATATGTCAATTTTTAGAAAATATTGCAGGAAACCAGGTCAACCTCTTCAACAGTTCTTTAATAGAATGATAGAGAAAGAATTTCATGGAACAAATGATAATTGTGATACTAATTCTTCTATTCGCGTATTCGTACAGCGCAGTACAGTTGGTGAGCCTTCTCAATATTATAAGATCATATTCAACAAAATNCTGTTAAGTATAGATATGCGCGATAATTGCTGTCTCTTATCTAATGGATCAATTTGTATTGTCTTTGATATTGTTATGGAAAATAATTTGTATTTTCTAATAGTTAGGAAATTTGTCGAAGTTGATGATTTTTATGATATTGGCATTTTATCCTCTAGTGTCTTAGTATATAAGTGTTNCATATTAGGGTGTGATAGTTTTCGTATTCCATTAAAAGAAGTTCGCGCAAAATGTTATAGAATGCCTTTTTGGACTTCCACATCAGCAGAAAATAGCAGCAGTGATGAAGAAAATGACTCAGAAATATCTCACTACATAGTCCTTGTTATTGTACACAGTGAAGTAGAATTTGTGTTACTAAATTTTTTTATTTGTATTTTTACAGGAATATGGTTTTGTTCTATATTTCTTGCACTTATAACTTTTTTNTCTCATTTGCTTTATCTACTTCATTTTTCCTGCGCGTTTATTTCTAAGAAGTGATTGATGTAATATTATTCATTATTATATTATGTTTTGTCTTTTCGATTATTCGTTACAGTTTTTTCTTGTAATATAATTTTTAGCTTCTTCTCAGATATATCATATATATACATCATATATTCTCTTTAATAACTTGTTAATTGTATTTGCATGCTTTCTTTTTCAATCTTTCAAGTTGCTTGCTTTGTAGTCTTGATTCGAATATTTTTTCATAATAATGGAGAATACTTTATTGAATTATAACATTATCTGCAAAGAAAAAATTATAAAAGTAATAATAAATTATAAAAGTAATAGTAATTATAACAAAATATAAAGGTAAACTAACTTTTACAAAAACTTGATTATAAAAAAATTAATCATTTAATTTAATCATTTTTATTTTATTAATTAATGCATGTAGTCAAAAATATTGTTATTGTCGATTATGTTTTGTGCATAGCATTGTATTAACTTTTTGTGTTTTGTATTATATAAATTTATTGCATTAGGTATACATTTAAACATATATATAACTTTATATACAGGTAGAGATGGACCGACCAAAATGAACAATTGCAAAGCTGTCCCGCTATATGACTACTTCATCGGATGAGGCTTCAAAACGAAAAAAAACACCGCACCTATTGGAGATATCCAAGATGACGTTAACGACATCANAAACACCCTGGAGAACGATTCAAATAATTATGAAAATTTTATTCCTTCAAATAACAATACTAATAATACTAATACATTATTCCGTTCATATACACAGCAACATGTATTACCATGTACAAACACATACACTCATACAACACATTCGGATACAGACACAAATACATATACAAATATACAGTCATATACAAATATACAACCGCACACAAACAGTGAACCACATACAAATTTTCAGACTTATACAAATATTCAACCATATACAATTATTCACCCACAAACTGACTTTCAAACATACACTAACCATCTACTAACACTGATAGTATTAATCTATTGCATGCGTCTGTTATACATAATTACACACCGCAAGTAACCAATGAAAGAGCAACATATAATATTAATAATACAAGTACTGAGTTTCAGAGTATCTCGGAAGCAAGAACATCTACCAAGAACAATTTGTATCGCCCAGCTGAAGAAACAAGANTGCTCACTCTTTTGAAAGGTCGAGAGAACATTCCACCGCAATCATAAAAAACAGACAATCGGTAAGTTCACGTATGTACTTAATAAAAACTTTTACATATTGATAATAAATATACTTATAGAAATATATTTATCAAAGCAATACAAATATTACTTTTTACTACATATTACTTAATTTTGTTGCAGAATACACGAACGTATAGATCGTTTGGAGACAGAGATGAAGTAAGTCTCAGATTTATTGATAGACGATTTTCATAATATTAATGTTTTTATTTACACACTTTTATAGAAGAATGAATACGCTGTTGGAAAATATATTAAAATGTGTACAAGACAAACAACGTGGACCACGAAAACCAGATATCCTCCCAATTTCATCTTTAACAGAAATGGATGCTTTTCAAAATATCGACGACAATGATTACTTCAACGTCGTGAGTATGCTATTTGTAATGTAAATTTTTTCGCACATGTATTTTAAATTTTTAATATTTGTCTTAGGTAAATTATTTCCGCTATATGGGTGNTTTTAATCTGAGAGAAGCTATCAATCTGTGTTTCAAAGAAGGACTGAAAGACTCTTTGACACCATCATTCACTTGGTGGGGTCGCGAAGGAGGACAAAGACCTTTATATAACACTCGTCTTGTTATGGCAATCTATGGTATGTATATTGATAAATTTTTAATGTATTGTACATTGTACATTGTACATATATTTTGATAAATTTCAACAATATTACATATTGTANTGCGTAATTACAAGTCTGAAAGTTAAAATCGTCACTGTTGGATTCTATTTTATGACAAGCCTGGATAAATAACTAGTGTTAATCATATGTCATAATTACATAATTTTAAATAAATTTTTAATTTTTCAGAAAAATGTAGTTTATTTTTATTATCGCATATTTATGCATAGTNATATCTATAATTATATTAGATTTCACTTAAATTTTCATTTTTGTGTAATATGAATTTTGTTNCTGTTTTCTATGTGAAGCAAAGTTTATGATTATGTCATTCTATACGAGCATATAACTTTAAAAATCAAAATTACATAATACTCATTATTTTACATTGTGTAAAAAATAATACAAAAAAAGATAATACAAATATTTCAAAACCGTACAACTTACAAAACTTGTTTTGCATTTAAAGCACAAGTAAATTTTATTTTACACATGAAAAGTTGTAAATGAGCTCTATGAGTNACAATTGTCCGATTTCTTTAGTAAATATTACATTATTATCATATATTGTAAAATTTAATAAATATTTAAAGCTGGAGACATAAATATTTATCACAGTTTTTTAACTTTTATATGCTTGTTTCTATTATAATATGTTTTAATATAACTTACTACTGTTTTAATATTATATTTNTGTTTTAGATGGTGTGTGCAATAATCGTCATTTTCAAAAACCAACGCGCTCTGAATTTCAAGCACAAATGAAGGAGGTTCTTCGAACAGCCAAGGAAAGATTACGGCATAGAGTACGAGATGTACGACAGCCAATAAGAAGAAGGATTCGCCGCAATTTGTAGAGTGACGAACAACGTTCGGAAGCGGAAGAAACAAACACTGACGAAAATGAATAAAATGTAATTATACAGAATGTCTGACACATGAAAAAGCCAAAAGAAGTGTAAAGATAAAGTGAATTAGTTTGGACCAAAGTTATTTATTATTTTAAAAAATTATCAATAATTATTCAGATAATAATAATTANCGAATGTGAACCAATGAGATAATAAGAAGCGATGATCCGGATCCTGTAGGCATGTATAATTAATATAAAAAATAATGGCTTACCTTATGCAACGAGTAGCGGAGCAAGTAAAGAAGCGCGAAGTGTTACTCAGCTTCTGTCCTATTTGTAGAACGATCTTGATCGCTAGAAGTTGAGTAACACTTCGCGCTTCTTTACTTGCTTCGCTTCTCGTTGCAAGATATTGCATGAGATAAGCTATTTTTCTTTATACTAATAATCGCACACGCGTATAGAGTCTAGACCATCGCTTCTCACAAACTCTCATTGGCTCACATTCATTAATTAATATTACAACACCTATTGCGAATTTAAAAAAATAAATGATTTTTCGATAGATTTATTTCGGTTTTCTGTCAATACTAATAATATAATTTATATAAATTATTAGCTATTACGATTCTATTATTTGTATTTTAGATTTATTGGTAGTATATAAATATCAGACTTAAGTAGTAAATATATTTACTAATAGTAAATATCTCACTCAATTACTGATGTGTGCAAAAGAAAACTAATAAGAATAATGCTTGTGCAGATTTTGCTATTAAAAATCAACTTTCGTTTCTTTTTTTTTTGCATAATTTCTTTATGATTTATTTGTAATTGTAATAACAAATTTTACTTGTTTAGTTTTAGGTACACTGATGCACTGAAGATTAAAAGACACATCCTACCTACACACAAATTCATCTTTTTTCCGAAGAGAAGAGAAGGAAAACGGCACTTTTCAGCGTCCATTTTTAAATTATTTATANTTTGGATATTTCTCCGGTGTTTCGCAATATCTATCGGCACTTTTCAGTGCTATAAAATATTCTTTTCCAAGACATGCATTATGAAACTTTGAAATAAATTCCGATCAGAATTGTTTTGTTATTGTTTACTAGTAGATTTCTATAATGTCCCTTACGAAAAAGAACTACTGGCAGTAATATATTGCGGCAGTGGTACGAAAGAATTACTGGCATTCTGTGTATTTGCCAGTAATATTCTCAGTGATTCCTATAATATCTAATAATTTTCTTGTGTGATTGTCAGTAATATTTATATTACTGACTTTATTTATATGTAATCTGCAGTAGTTCTTTTTCGTAAGGAGTTTTTTAGAAAAAACAAAATAATTCTGATCGGAATTCATTACAAACAATTTCATAATAAATGCCCACGTAATACCTATTTACAAATTATATTTTTTTCTATTTTTTTTAAATATATGTAGTTACACAATATATAAGTTTATGTAAATAAATTATGTAAATAAATTATGTAAATAAATATTATGACAATATGTTATACAAAATAAATGTTAATATATTTTTTACGTTAATGTTTTATTTTAAAATTTCCTTCAATTATATCTTCAATTATAAATTTATATATATATATATATATATATATATATATATATTTAAATACCCACATGCTCGAACTGCAAATCTTGCACGGGTTTTGCTGTCATTTTGCTCTCAAACTGTGTTGCGCAGACCTTGCTTCATATTTGGCGTCAATTTGGTCTCAGGTTATGTTATCAAACGTTGCTCGGGTTTTGTCAGCAATTTGCTGTTACGTTTTGTCAACAAGGTTTGGCGACGAACTCCAAATTAACTCATTTTTCTCAGCTTTCAAATAAAGGCAGTAATCGTAGTCGCATCTACAAAAACCTAACTCTCTTACATATTTATCAAAGCACCTATACCACGCACGTGGAATTTTCTTTAAACCATACAAAGCCTTATACAACTTATAAATCTTATCATTCTCCTTAATTATTAAAGTCTATCGATTGCTTAACATAGACTTTGGAAACTACTTTACCGTTTAAAAAAGCTGTCTCTACGTCTATTTGTTCTATTTCCAAACTTTCTTGACAACAATACGACAGTAATATTTTAAGTGTTTGCATTTTGAATACCGATGAGTATGTATTTTCTACCTTTTTCTTCTGTTGAAAGCCTCTTACAACAAGTCTTGCTTTGAAAATATTCTCAGATTTTTTCGTGTAGACCCATTTTACGTCCAGAATTTCTTTATCCGGTTTGTTTACCAGCCTCCATGTTTTATTTTTGTTTAAACTATTCATTTCTCTTTTTATTGCCGCATGCCATTGTTCTGCTTCATTACTTGATATCGCCTCCTCAAATGTATTTGGCACATTTACACTACAATAGTTAGCATAAGCATATTCATTGTGATATCTAATAGGAGGTTTTGAGATTCTTGAAGTTCTTCTTAGTGTTGATCTTTTATCCTCATTTTCATTCCTGTCTATAGTCTTCTCGGTATCTTCTGTATCTTCTTCATCTACATTGCTTATTTTTTCTGGTTTATTTTCTGAACCAGCTTCACGCTTTTCATCCTCTTCTTCACTATCCTTAAAACCAATACATTTAACATCATCTTCTATGATATCCACATGTCTAACTACAATTATTTTGTTGTTTATTAAAACCTTATAGCCAACTTCAGCGTATCCAAGTAGAACTCCTAATTCTGCTTTTTTATCCCACTTTCATTTCCTCTTTTCTTCTGATATACGTACAAATACTTGGTTTCCGTACAATCGCAAGTTTCTTGTACATGGTTTCTTCCTAAAAAATATTTCAAACGGAGTTTTTCTTTCTTTCGTGTTAGTCAATGTTCTGTTTTTGGGATATGCGGCTGCCAACGCATTCTGGCCAAAAACTTCGGACTTTCGCTTCAGCTAGCAAACATCTAGCCATGTCCATAATTGATCTGTTAAATCGTTCAGCTGTACCATTCAGTTCATGAACATATGGAGGACATGCGTTTATCTGAATGCCTTTCTAGCGAGTTTATATATCTTCGAGTTTAAATATTCTTTGCCATTGTCGCATTTCATTCTTCTTGTCTTCTTACCAGCTAAATTTTCTATCTCATTAAGTTTTTTTTTTATTGAAGTTTTAGATTTATTTAACTTAACAAAATACTTTGTTTGAAATTCAAACAATCGGAATGTTTAGTTCAAAATCAAGGTTGTTTGAACTATTCCAATGAAATAATTTGTTTGGATTTAACAAAATTTGTTAAATCTAAAGAAACCGTTCTCTCTGTGTATTTTGTAAAAATTCTTGGGACGTCCTACACATATCCTGTAAGAATCCTTGGAACGTCCTACATAATAGCCTAAGAATAATTCAGGAACTAAAAAAAGCGCTCATTTGCTCTTCCTCAGGACTCAGAGGAGATCCTGGGATTAAAATAGGATATTTACAGGATATCTGTTTTGTCCGTATAAGATATTCTTTGGATTTTCAGAGGACGTCCATGTACTATTTGAGGTGGTACTTTCTGCGGAGTCGAAACATGTACAGGGTGCGGCGCCAAAATCCGGACAAATTATATATGTTTTTCTAAATATGTTTTATTGCTACAATGAAAAGATTTACAAAATTTGTTTAGCTCCATTGTTTGTAAGGCCATAAATAATATATTCACTCAATATATCCCCC